CTAAAATCTTGGAAAGTGAAAGAGTATTTTGCAGTTGAGAGGAAGGCTGAAAGAAGAGGGGTAAACATTTGCAATCCTCATGGATAGTTACCAGAAAGGGTCAAAACAGGCAATCATCTTGCAACAGAAACATGGTTGGTGAAATCATGGAAATGCTGGTTGAGCTTCTAGGACAGGTTTGCACTGAAAATACTGTTAAAATTGACTCTAGAGATTTCCTCCCAGAACTTGCATCACTTGAAAGGTGTCTGGATTGCACATCTAGCCTGGATGTCCAGATGGATTTCTGCTTATATTTGGAGGCATCTCACTCAAGAGATGAGGAGTCATGAGGCTGTTTAGCCCTTAACATTTCTCAGGCTTTCAGTGTTCTGAAGTTTCTCTCATTTTGAATCAAATGCTCAGCCCACAAGTGGACATATTTAAGCACACGGTAAAATATATACCCTGAGATTGCTACCCAGCAGCATAAATGTTATCACATTGTTTCTATCTGTATGAACCTGGGGGCATATTTGCATAGATAGCTTGGAGCAGTGTCCATGTCTTCTGAAATGTCAGGAGGCCTCAGCCTTCAAAGATGTCCATGCAAATTTGAGGTTTAGAATGGCTGGAGATGGTGTCTTTCTAGATAAGAAACGTTTATGTTGTTTGGTATTAATGTGAGAAGACAAAGGCAGATAGCAGGACATGAAGCCAACCTCACAGTTTATGTTGCAAAGATGCAGTAGAGTGGATGTGCTGTCAACTCCTAAGAGGATCAGGGTTGTACATATGTTCCGTATGGATCCAGGAATTTGTGGAGGTCCCATATTGCAGTTGTCACCCAGTTGGGACTCTACTTCTAGAAGAATGACCTGGTAACATGGGAGATGGCAGGCACCCTCTCTTCAAACACGCAGCAGGGCAGTGGGATGAATGGTGGGTTTGTGTTGGAGTTGCATTGAAAAATGAAATTCTGCAAGCTAACCATGGTGCAGTTTAAGAGACGAGGCAAATTGTTCGTGGGCACAGTTTGAGGTGGGGACTTGGCCATATTTGTATCATAACCTAAGGCAAATACTGAAAATCCCAGAACTTGGTACTGAACATGTTACTTTTCAAGTGAAAATGAGGAAAAAAATTACTGCAGAATCATTCTCATATAATGTACTTTCATATGCTTGAAATCAAGGCTGAGCTTCAGGCAGGGAAACCAATAAATGACGTGTAGCTGTCAGCCATGCGTACAGCATCTTATTCACCTTTTAATAATCCTTGGGGGGACAAGGTCCTGGTTGATGTATTGGCTAATAAGCTGGTCACCCTGCCCATAGGCCTGATGTACCTCACTCTTCAGGTCCTTCCCAGCTACTTCCAAGCATTTCCATAGCGCAAGCAAGTTTAGCTTATTAGCGCAGACTCCCAATTTCTCTTGCTCAAGTGATGAGGAAATGAAACACTGTTGACATCTTTGGAACTGGAGTGTGCATTTATCAGGGCTATGTTCAAGTATTTGGTCCCTGCATTGGGAAAACTGGGGCTGCCCTCCTTGTTTAGGGCATTTATGGTTCTTGGAGAGCCTGCTGCTACATGCTGGCTTCAAGTTATTAATTAACCAGCTATTAAACATCATCCATAACTTTGCAACTTCATCAAGACCTTCTAAAGCCATGAAAGACAACATTTTGCTCACCAAGTGGAGTCAAAAGGTGAAGGATAGGGGAAACCCATTTAGACTGTGAGGTTTCTCTTGGAAGTCTTCAAAAATATTTAGGCAGATTGTTCCAATATTTTAAGTATATTTGAAAGTCCTCTTGAAGTTCTAAATGTATGAACGGTCAGAAAAGCAAAGCATGATTTACATGTTTCATTTTTTCACTTGATGCTGTGCCAAAGTAGCCAGGGGCCCAGGCAGGGATAAAGTGGATGGAATGAAGTTGCTTTTTGCTCTTTAAAAAAAAAAAAAAAAAAAAAAAAANAAAAAAAAAAAAAAAAAAAAAAATCCTGTTTAACAACTTAAGGTGTACTCTACACTGTCTGGAAGCTGATAAGCTATAGGACAGCATTTTAGAGATAGCATGCTTGAAATTTTGAATAGTCTACTGCCATGATGTGTAAAATAAAGTGCCAACTGATCTTGCAGGCATAAAAGGTTACATAAAGCACAATAACATCCTATTTGGCAAAGAGACATGTTCCATGTAGGATATCTAATGTACTATATGAAATCAGCAACCTGTGACACTGGAGAAGACTTTCAAAGACCAGCCAGGAGCAAGGATTAATAGAAGAGGGTAGAACATGACGGTATGTGAAATGTGGAGGAAATGGAGAATTAGATCAAATCAGGGGAAAATAGTTCTCTATGAGGAGATAAATATGATCTAAAACAGATATCTGGTAGGAAGAAGCTACTTAGAAGGTAACAATGTTGAAATGATGCCTAAGCAAATCAGATACGAAAATGCAATATGGGAGGAAAAATAAATGCATAAATATCACAGTAACTCTCGCTGTGCTCTGATAGGGAGGTAGAAAGGGCCAGATGCCTACACAATGCTGAGATGGGATTTGATTTGAAACACTGGAACCTGGGTGAAAAAGCTGCGGCAGCCAGCAGAAACAGTGAGGATGGTGCAGAGAAATTTGGGAGGCTGAGTCATCTCCATGGGAAGAGATGGAAATAACTCCATCTGCTTGGTCACCAGCACCTGGATGGCTGCTTGCAAAAAGCTGGTGCATGCAAGTAGGGTAGAGCTCGTGTATGGCAAAACTGCAGACTGATTGTATGAAATTGTGGTGTGAAGTTGAGAGGGGTGGAGAAAGAAAGATCAGTGAAGCTAGCCCACCTTTAGACAGCAAGGGCTGGAAGCCACATCATTTGGTATATGAAAGGGTGAAGAGGGATCTGAGCCCTATTTTCTAACAACATCATGAAAGGGAGCCAAAGCCTTGTGTGGTGCATCATACTCCTCGGCTGTGCGGGTTTGTGCCTACTGCTGACAAGTCCATGTGCTGCAAAGAAGGTGGGCTGAGATGAACTAGACTGTTCTACCATCTCCTGATTCTTCAACTCTAAGTTGAATCCAGGATTGCCTAATAGCTAATAAATGCCTAAAATACTGGGGGTGGCCAGTGGGTGTCAGCTTTGTCCTATTCAGGAGCTGATGGTGCTTTCTTTATCTAATATAAACTCTCTCTTAAAGGTGTCAGTGGTATTGGGGGGGGGGGAGCGGGCAGAATATTGGGGCAAAAGACATCCCTATGCAGAAATGTGAGGTCTGCCCTGCAGTCTGGAGTTTTATTTTCTGTTAACTCTGCTTTAAAAGATCAAAGATAATCATTAGTAGTAATTTTTCCCCCCTCTTTTTCAATACCTCAAGCGCAGAGAGAAGACAAGTAATGAGGATTTTCAGGAGACCTCTTTGGTCTTACAAGCAAGCCACCAACTACAGATAGTATAATACTTCACTTTCAAAGTTGAGTTGTGCAAATGCCTTGCAGGAAGCATCTGTGATGACCTCTCTGTCTCTGGAGGACTACAGTGCTGTGGTCAGCCAGATATGGCCACTCAGTAATGGTGTGGAAATTGCTTAAAGATTGAGGCTAGCCTAAAGACCTCAAGCTATGTAAGTTTTATAGGAAACTTCTGTGGATTTTAAGGGTCACTGTCAATAGTTACTTGCAACCAAACTTCCCAACCAAATACCAACCAAGATACTCTTCTTTAACTAAAACTCAACCATCTAAACCTAAAGAGCAAAAAGATGCTGTTTAGTGTTTAGCTCTTGGATACAATGAGTGTGTTGTAACATGGTAGTTCTACAGAGTTTTGATATGAACGTCAAGTGTTTTGCTAGAGACAGTTGAGTTTTGAGATGCCTCTTTATCAGTGGACGGGTACAATAACCTGGCACCTAAGCTGCACAGGGAAGAATTGCCAGGACAAAGAGGAGATCTTCCAGGGATCCTAAGAATATTTGAAAGGGTTTTTTCTCTACATCCGGATTCAAATTCCTCTAGCAGTTGACACAACCTTTACCTTGACTTTTATAGGTTTGTGTTTTTGACTGGGTGTCTTCAGCTGAAATTACCCAAAATCTTTTGTTGATACTAGATGTCTAAGCTCAGACCTGTGGTGGTAACAAGACAGCCAAAGTGATGCCATTGTCCAAGCCAATGTTCTAGGACCCAGAATCTTCCCTGGGACAATCTCCCTTGTTCATGTTGGTTCTTGTAGATCTTAGGAAGAATAACAGTGCCTTGACAGAAGCGGTGTGTTGTATTTTTAATGCAGAGGCTGAAAGAGGTCTTCACTGGATTAAACCATTAAAGGAATACTGAAAACTGGTGACACCTTGCCTCTTATCCTATTTTTTAAAGGAGCATTTTCAAACCATGAGAATGAAGTTGTTTGCTTTGCTTGCCCACTAGTGTGTGGGCAATGTCTGGAGGTGCAGAAATATTCCTTCACTGCAGTAAAACAACTGTGTCTTAAAAAGCTCTGAAAAATGACAAAATCCTTACCCCTAATCAAATCAGACTACTAGAAAAGGATATGAACCTCTCCAGCAGCCCTGTTAGTGAGGAGAAACAGCATGGCAGTTCACAATGAAAATTAACGTACAGCTTTAAAAGGCTGTGGTCAAACACCGTTTAATGTGTCATTGAGAGTAGAGTAAAAAGATGCTACTGTTTTATTTTTATGATCTAAATTGTTGTCTGTGGTTATTCAAAGTTAACCTGACTGCACTTGGTTGGTTATGGGGTTATGGCTGGTTATGGGGCCATTTAATTTAAGGTGATCATATTTTCATAATAAAGCACCAGGTCTCTCTTATGATAACACTTTATGTAGAGGCATGAAAGATCCTCCAAAACCCTCTTCTCTCAACACTTGTTGTGTCCTGACATGTTTTCCATCTCAACTGTATCTAGATTCTGCCTTTCTCTCTCATGGTAGAGACCCTCACCTCTGTTAACTGAGGAAAAAATAATAGAGTTGTTTTTTTTTTTAGGTGAGGGACTCGAGTATAAATGAGGATGCTCACCCAGTGTAAGCAACCAGTGTAGCCAGCTGATGTCTCCTGGTGTAACTGCTGGAGGAAGAAATGTTCTTCTAGAGTGACTAATTTAGTGCTTGGACTTGTCAGTTGGAAGAGTCATTCCCTTCCATGGGCTCTGGAAGAAGCCAGAAATACAAGGCTAACCAAGGTGAATCTACCTGCATAAATATACTTGTAACCTAATGTGGAAACCAACAAGAGTAACAGGACAATAACAGGACTATCTGCCTATAAACATCTTTTGCCTTGTGGAAAACTAGTCAAACCCAACTGGACACTTCTGAACTTTGAAGATTCAATTTTTGCAATTATTTAGGTTAGATATTAGGAAATATTTCTATGTGGAAAGAGTGGTCAAGCATTAGAACAGGCTGCCCAGGGTAGTGGTGCAGCTGCTGTCCCTGGCAGTGTGCAAGAAATGTGTAGATGAGGTGCTTAGGGATGTGGTTTAACAGGCAGGATATTGAAGGACTTATGGTTAGACTTCATGATTTTGGAGTTATTTTCCAACCATAATGATTTTATGATTCTTGTTGGAGAAGAGGAGAATTTGGTTCACATCAAATGATGCAAACCCATGAGCTTGGTGAGTTGTTAGTGAATTTTCTCTGGCTTTTCAGTATAAATGACTTCAGCATTTTTACCAGATTCTATCTTAAGTAACCATTATCTGCCTGTTTGAAATGCCCCCAGTAATTTATATAGATCCCATGTAGTTTTGTAACGGCTGCTTTTTGAGCTTTCTACCACTGTTCAGTATTAGACATATTTTACTCTGTAGGTACTGGTATTTCCAGTCCTGAGCACAGCAAGAGTTGTAATTCCTGTTTGTATTGAAGTGCTAGGTGGGAAGCAGAGTCCTGAATAAACCCTCATTGTGCTAGTTGTACAAACAAAGACTAGAAATGAGCTCAGACTCAAGGATTCTGGGTCTGTAGCTAGTGTCATGATTAAATTTTGTTAGGAGACTTTAAAATCGTCCTACCTCATAAGTGTTATGCCCATATACATTTATATCTTGAGAATAAAGAGGAAACCCTGTACGTTTTTATTATTCATAGTAAAGCATAAAACACAATACTATTTTTCAAGTATCTTGGATATAGCAATTAGAGTACCAGGAAGAATAGGAATCTTGGTTTCCTGTATACTTTCAGTTTATGTGTATGCCTGAAGTTGGCGGCTTTATAGAAGAAGGAAGAAGCATTTGCTGTGAAAACGATGCCTCACAGGGAGCACGCTGAATTCAGGTGAAGACTGTAGTGCATGAGCTGGTGCCCTTTTAAGAATCAAATATTGTGCCTTTGAGAATAAAGCTCTAAAAGCAAAGATGATAAGAAAATACAGCGACCATGTGATATATTAGCAGAATGTTTTACAAAGTCCCCCACAAAGATCCGCTGCTCTTGAAAAGCCTAACCAACCCAAGTGAGAAACTATTCACAAATTTAGTATTCAGATTACATGCTCTGCCTTTTCAACTGCTCTCTGTACAATGAATGCCTGTACAACTACAGTAACAGACACAGATCTACAGTTTCTGTGGCCTTTGAGCTATTATGAGTATTGTGCCCCTCCATAAATTACATGTGCACATCCTGAAAATACCAACTGTTTTAACAGGAATTAATCTATAGGCTTTTATCTTGGTGAAATACAAGGGATACAGTATGTTGCATCTCTTTTAAAATTAATAGGGTATCGCCTGAAGATATTCAAGGATGTTCATTATTTTCTTTATAGGTCTCTTTATTGATGCACATAAACATAAAACAGTGCCTTATTGTAGGAAAGGGAAGGGGATGGCGTAATGAATAGATTAGGACTTGCGTGGTTTCGGGCTGTCCAATGCACAGTGAAGTAAAGAGAGGTCTACATTTGTCCTCTTCAAAGTATATTGGGATTAGATCCAGTTTGTGTTCAAAGTGTCCCTTCTGTGGGCAGAAGAGAGGGGGTTCAGTCTAAAGGGAAGTAAGCTGATCCAGCAGTCCAGTGCTCCGTGGCATTCGTGGCTGTCCAAGGCAACAGTAGGTTACATATGCGCTTTTTAATTTGTCAGTGCTAAATAAAGCTGGGGTTTTTGTTGTGCTAAACTATTATTTATTGTTAATACTTGATAAATGGTGTTTGGCTGCTAAATCCCTGGAATTTTTTTGACTTTATATAGGCACACTTAAACTGATTTAAACAAGGAGTAACATAAAAGCATTTTTATGCTTGTTGTGAATAATAAGTCGCACATATATGGGTTAAATCCATGGGTAATTTAAATAATACATCAGGCTGAGCCTATCACAGACCCATCAAAGTGTAATTGCCAACAATTGTAATTGCCACCTGAATTGGTGGTTTGTGTGGATGCTGCTTAGGAGTCAGTCCCATTGATGGGAGTGGAAAGAGGGTGCCTGCTGTGCTCACGGGATCCCCAGAAATGGCCCTTTCAGGGATTTGACTTACACAAGAAGGCAGAAGTCTGTGGCAATACTGAAAATTGCTCTTGAGAAACCCTCTCAGTGTGTTATTCTCTCCATTTTAGAAATGGAGAAGTGGAACTTGGAGAAATAGTGACTGGGTTGAAACTATGGGGAGGACCTCTCACCATGCGAGTCCAGGGCTCCTCCAGGACATCTCTTTATCATCAAGATCATCACAGTGGCTTCACCAAATATATTTTTGGGGAGATCCTTGTGGACTTCTCACTGCATCCCTCCAAGCTGATGCAGAGCTGAGGTTTGCAATGAAACCATGGTTTGAGGCCATGTGTGTGTCACTAGCGTAGACGTTCCCAGGTTTGCAGTCTTTGGAGTTATCAAATGTATTTCTAACGGCCAACCCTTTCATTCTGTTGCCTGTTCCCTGCTTCTCTTTTGGTCACTTCTCTTTGTTTTCACAACTCGGTTTGATTTTTTTGAAAGCTTACAAAGCAGCAGGATTAGAAGCAGAGGAATAATGACTGTAGAGGGTGGATCTGGCTTTTGACCATCAGCCCCTATGGCTGAAGCAAGTTCCAACAGTTTTGTGAGAAAAAGTTGTTACTTATTTATTAAAGTATTATGTCTAAGGATTGCCAGCTGGAAACCTTCAGTTTTCAACATTTTGATGAAAAGCATCATAAAAACTTTGTCAAAAAAAGCGCCCCTAGTATTTTGTTGACTTTTTTGGGCATTGACCCCTGCTTTTCAATGTCCTGTAAAAGTGATCAAAGGCTCCCAATGCTGCTGAGACTCCCGCCTTGGGAAGGCCGACCTCCAAAACACCAAAGAAACCTGAGAGTTTGCTATGGAGTGATTTCATACGGACAGCTCAGGGGAAGTTGCTTTCCTCCTGGAGGAGGATGTCCATGAGGAGCTGTATTCCAGCAGAACTGCTATGGTATAATTACACAGCTAGAGCTATGCCAGACTATTTCGGAGGTAGGCAAGCCAAGTCTAGTTGTTGAAACGTAGGCGTGGGAAACAAGAAGTTTGCTTTCTAGGCTCAGCTCTGAGTGCTCTTTGTGGCCTTGGGCCAGTCCCTAACCTTTCTGCCTCCTTCCTATGTAAAATGAGAAGAGCTAAATTAATCTACTTCACAGTTGTGGTGCAATGACTAATTGGCTAAAATTTATTGCGCTGTGGGGAGAGCTGTCTATTAACCTCCCTGTCTTTGGCTCGTTGAATAATTTCAGCGATAAGTTAAGTTTGTGCTGTCAGGATAGGGTGGCACATGGTAAGAGCTACTTGTTGGGAGCGCCCTGGGCTTCAGGACCCCCAAGGAGGACTCCTGAGTCCACAAGCTCTGGAAAGATGTAAGGAGGGAAAAGGGGACTAAAGCACATGCATGTTTTACATTTGTAAGCAAAACACTCCAATGTATACAATTTGCCTCTGGGGAAAGGATAAAAAAAGTATTTTCCGTTTCATTTAATGCGCTGCTGGAACCAATGTGGATATATAAAGTACTCTAGTCAGTAAATGCTTGCAAAACGCCTTGGCAAAATGTATTATTTCCCTTTAGTGACCAATGTACATATGGGATAATTTCATTATTCCCGTTAGCTTCCGTGCTAGGTGAAAGGGTATATTGGCAGTCTGAATTCTGATGTTTTCTAATGTGCTTAACGTGGCAAATCTAACACTTAGTATTATGTGAGTATACAACACATTGCATATCCAGGTATTGCATCTCCCTGCAGGATTAATCCTGGTGTCTAATGGTGGTCAGACCAGCCTAAACTACGAGGTGTTAGAAGAACAATCCTATCACACCTGCTCTAAAGCCTGTTGAGGCCGAGGGAAAGGTCCTGGGTGCAAGAACATGGGGGCCCTGGGGGACATGCACAAAATGGGCCCAGAGCTGTAAGTGTGTCTTGGTGTGGACATGCTGGTAGCCTTGGGTCGTTGGCGAAGAGCTTTCATGCTGAGATTGGTGCTGGTATAAGCACAACTTTTCTGTATCGTTTTGGCCTCATAAGCGTTATGTCAAGAGAGAATGGTCCAAGGTTGTGTCAAGGCAGGTTCAGGTTAGATAGAAAATTACTATACAAATTGGTGAAGTGTTGTAACAGGCTGCCTGAGGAAGTGCAGTCGCTGTCCCTGGCAGTGTTGAAGAAACATGCAGATGAGGCATTTAGGGACATGGTTCAGCAGGCATGGTGGTGATAGGTTTATGGTGGGACTCGATGCTTGAAGGTCTTGTCCAACTAACATGATTCTGTGGGGGCCTCCTGGGGAAAATACGCAGTTGGTGTCTCCCTTGTCACCACCCGGCCTCCTCACAGGCAGGCACTGGGGCAGAGGGAAGAATACAGTGCAGAAAGGCTTTCCCTGTGACTCTCTGTTGAACAGTGTGAGAAGTGCGCTTTTCCACAGGGAAGGAGGGCGAGACGCCGCGGTCAGCACCTCCCGCGCCGTGCTGTGTGCGAGGAGAGATGGCGCGGGGCGCCGGCCGGGGGAGGCGCGGGCCCGCCGGGCCCCTGCGGGGCGCTGGCGCCGCGGCGCTGGCAAGCACAAGTGCTGAATCACGGCGCGGCGCCCGGCGGGCGAGCCCCCCGCGCCAACGGCCGCGCCAACGGCCGCTCCAAC